GGGACCCGCACAGGGCTCCCCAACCAGGACTGCCAACTCTCACCAGCATCTCTTGGCATGGTCAGACCTCTGGGAGGGCTCCCAGGGCAGCTCGGTCAAGCTAGGCAGGGTTCGGCCAAACCTCCTCCAGGAAGGTGGAGAGCCTCGTCTCCAATGGAGGGGATCACGCAAGATGGGGAGGTAGCTGCTTCACCTGAACACCGGCGGGGGGACCGCCGGCTCACTAAGGGCCCTCCCCAACATGACCACAGTTGCCACATCGATTGGTAAAAAGGAAAAAAAAAAGTGTACAGGTTTCCCTCGATTTATGTGGGTTTTTTATATGCAAATTCGCTCTTATGCAATGAGCATAGTTAGATCCATAATTCGTTATATACGAGGTAAATTCACTCTTCTGAGATCAGCAGAGATGCCCCCCCCACCCAAATAAGTCTGTGGGGGAGGGGAAAGGACCATGGCCCCATTCACCCCAGCCCCAGCAGCCCTGGGAGCAGCCAACACCAGCTGCCTGCACCAGGGCATGGCGCAGCCCAGGAGCAGGTGAGTGGGGACAGGCAGAGCACAATGTCCCTAGTGGCTGCGGGCAGCTGGTGCCAGCCACTCCCAGGGCCACTGCAGCAAGGCAAGTGCCGCTCTGTTCCCTCTGCCTCGCTGCCTTTTGCAGCCCCGGGAGTGGCACTTCTCCCCCTGTCCCTTCCCTAGTCCCAGCCTCACTCCCACCTTCACCATCATGGGAACCTATCCCTATTTGGTACATTGTAAAGTGGGTTCACTTTATGCAAATTCAATTTATATGCCATTCTCTGGGAATGCATGTACAGCATAAATCAAGGGAAACCTGGCCACACTTTTTCTTAGATGTGGCTTATCCAACACAGTGTATTTCTTAGGACAGTGCAAACAGATGTGTACTGGAGATAGTCAAGTAGAAGAAAGGATAGCATTGTACCTGTGGCGTTATAATTAACTCAGCTTCAGGTAGAGTAAATAATTGTTTTTATCTGAAGATATTTTTATCAAGACAGACAAATCTGAATGCAAATTACCTTATAAAGAATCAAAAAGAATAAATTTCAGATGCTAGAAAACAATATGCCCCCAACAGAAGAACAACAGATAGTCAGTCTTACTCAGATCGTATTATTTGACACAGAGATTGATAAAATAAAGGAATGAGTTTAATTTAAAATATATGGAATCCATTGGTGGATTATACCAAGAATTTTAGAACTGAAGTATGGGACCAAGTGTTGGTTGAAAAATTACTACACAGTGAATGTTTATCTCTGAATTATTCGTCTTTCTTCATATGGACTGTCTTGCTTTGCTTTATCTGATATAATTTGAAACATATTTGTGGGACGTGGGGTTGGGGAGAGGGGAAGTAATTAGGATTGGTTGATAATCAGAACAGATATTGTTCCATATATGAATAAAGACTTATTCAAAAATATTTTTAAATTATTGTAACTCTCTTCAACACTGCCTTATGCCAACTTCATAAGCTACTAACAAATTAAAGTTTATGTTTACTTGTATCTGCCCACATATAATCAAATATGAGGTGGTCTGTGATAGTCTGGTATTAAAACACTGCAAAAAAAAAAAAAAATGGGGTTCTTTTTTCCCCAAAATAAAAGACCATTTAGATTACATGTAATTATTATCCAGTTCCAAAGACTTTACTTTAATGGTTGTACTTCCACCCATCATTTTTCTTAATTAATAGGATGAAGTTTTACTGTATTACAAAACAAACGGAAGATGATAGAATCTAGCATTCCCTCCTTATTCATGTCTGGCCAAAATTTTCTAGCATAGAAGCCTGAAGTTAATGCCTTTAATTAAAAGCAAACTGATTTTTGAGCAATGAGCATTTACAGTGCTCACTGAAGCCAGAAAAAGCTGCCAATACTTAGCAACTTTGAAGATCAGGACGTAGGTGATATAGGTGCTTATATCTAAATGTAGATAACTATTTTTAGTCACCTGTGCTTGAAAAATGTTGGTTCTGATATACATCTTGCTAGGCAAAGCACATCTATTATCCCACAATTTAAAGATTTTTTTTCAGACAGATACAACCAACAAATACACATTTTATTTTAGGGAGTTCTGTGAAAGCTGGTCAGTAGTGTCACAACCCAAAGGTGTGATTTTGTTTTTGTGTGTGCTTTGGCACCACTGAATTATTTTCCTGCCAATTTGTAGCTTTCTTTGCAGTGTGCATTTCTTCTTTGCAGCACAGAAATGCACTTTGCAAAGAGTTCCCACCATTTGTATTATAATTCGAGCCCCATTATTGGCTTGCGTGAAATTATTCACACGTGGCGGCTAGGGGTTGGGTTTGTTTCTCTCTAAGGAGTCCATGATTACCTCGTGGACTTCTACGTAAATCTCGGACCGACTGGTAGCCTGATCAACTACTAAGAGCCTCTCCCCGTCACCGCCTAATCCCTCGACGTACCCTTCCCTGCGCGCTTTCATTCCACGGAGCCTAGCAAACTTCGTGAGAGTCTATTCAGAGCTCTTCACTTCGAATACTTTCTTCAGTTGGCGCGACGGGCTCGCGGTTTAGAGCCTCCAACCAGATGGGCTAGAAGAATGTTCACGGGAAGGAATTCTAGTCCGCCTCTCTTCTTTTCTATCTGTAACCGCAACTCAAGCAAGTTTTCCCGCCTGCACCGCGACCATCTTCGGTGTAAGTAAACAATCTTGAATCAACCATTACGCGTCCGTGACTAATTCTAGTGTGCCGCCTGTTTTCTCTGACCCAGCATGCCCGGGCTGCTGGCCACAGCCCGCGCGGCACGAAAAAGGGCCCGGATCGCTCCCGGCCCACACAAGTAGGAAGACTGCCAAACACATAACAAGTTCTCCACCCCAGTGAATTTAAGGGCCCAAGCTGTATAGCACAGGAAACGCAAAACACAACACAACACAGATGGAATAGCAAGTGGTTGTTATATCTGAAATGTGTCACAATACAAGTGTATTTTAAGGAGGGGTTTTTTTGAAGGAGGAGGAGAGTGAAGGAGCTTTACATACATTAATTGGAAGGCTGTTCCATGTGTAGGAGGCAGCGTGGAAAAAGACACAAAGTTGGGAGTGAGCAAAAGAGACAAAAGGGGAAGTGCTAAGAGATATGCTGGAGAGGTGTGGAAAGCACAAGCCAACTGCAGAGGATATAAGGGCAAAGTTAGGGAAGGGAAAAAGTTAGGCAGCTTTGAATACAACTAACTTTACGCAAAGGAAGAGGCAGGCATTCTTGTAAAGGCTCAAAAAGTAGGAAGACATGATCAGGTGTGGAGGAAATGGAAATGATTTCAGCGGCAATAATGTCACATGGAAAAGACTGAGATGAGAAAGCAGGAGACCAGATCATATAAAACTAGGGTAGCAAACATTAAATCTCAATTAATTGGGACCTTGATTAAATAATAGCCAGACTACAGGGAGTGGTGAGAGCAGTACAACACAGTGATTCTTCAACTGAAGCTGTTAGTGACGTGGCATTTTTTAAATAACAATGTGAACACTACATGCCCAAAACACTCAAATGGCAAAGACTTGTGAATAGGGTTCTTGAAGATGCCACAGTGCAGCAGTACAATCTGGTTTTGCCTAAAAGCGGGTAAATTAAATTGATGCACAGAACGAATTAAACTCTATGTATGTAAAAGTATATTACATGAAATGGGAATAAAACATGCTCAGTTATCAGTTTAGAGGAATAAATATGCTCTTTGTGTAATTTAACTTTGATGAAGAAAACTTGAAAAGTGAATGGGTGCAAATCTGTCCCTATAGAAGAAGCTCAACTAATTATATCTGGTGTATGTAGCAGAATGAAACCTTTGATTTTATTCCGAAAGAAGTAGTTTCTTTTTCCTTGTACATGGTCTGTTTACTTTTCCCAGCAACAGATTTAAGATAGTATCTTGTACAAGTAGATCTCTTCATCTAACATAATTAGAATTCATTCAATAATCTGCCAATCATATTAAACTTGTCATTAGTAATGCTAGCTTTCCAATTTGAAAAACCCTAATAAAATACTATTGGGATTGATATTGGCTATATCAGAAATCATAAGAATGATTTCAGAGAAACTTTGCATCACAGATTACTCAGAACAAGCATTTAGTCTCTTTAGGCTTTGAACCCAAATCCCAGATACAAGTATTTTTTGGACATATGGGGAGCTTGATAATCTGTACCCAAATCAAAATCAGAGTGCGCCCCCAGCCCCAGCGCAGGCTCCATGGTGCCCAGTCAGGTACCCCCTTCAAAATTGGCTCCTAGAGCTCATGCCCTGCTCACGCTCCCTAGATATGCTAGCAGCCCCCAGCAAAATCCCGCATCACAACACCAGTAGCTAAAGCGCAGGGAACCCAAACCACATAAGGTAATGTTGCCATTGTGGCTCCAAGGTGGTCCATGCAATACTCCCACCCACCCACTGTGACCAGAAAGCTGCAACTTACAATCAGCACTGAGTCAGAGGAAAACTGAGGAAATCATGCTAGCTCACTCATAGCCACACCCCGCCTTGACACCCCAAAGAGGAACCAGGGCCCTCCTCCCTGCACTGGCAGCAAGAATCAAGCTGGGGTGCAACTCTACCTCCCACCCCCCAATCCACCCCTGAACACTATGTCTCTCTGAAGGTAGTTAATTCCCTTTCTGCCAGCTGTTTTAGTTTTTGCAACACAGAGGCCACAAAAATGTTTTGGTTTGGAATTTTTTTTTCTATTTTATGATGTCATCATTTAGAATCCCCTTTTTGATTCAATTTCAGTCTTACAGGACAACTGTCTTGTTTTCAAATCTAATCACCCAGTTTTGAGGTGTACATGACATTGTAGATGGATTTTAGATGGAAGACCACAATTGGACTAATAATGGAACCTCAGTTACAATCTTAGAGAATGACAAAACTCAAACACTCATGACTCATGTCACACATGAATTCCAAAAATGTCAAAATCTGCACTTACCCACAAATCATGTTCGGCATAATCAAACAGCAGCCAAACCTTTCTGTCACTGTGAGAAAGGAAAACCTTCTGTAACGCAATGACATTAGGGTGCTTCAATTCTCGTAAAAGCTGCAAGTGAAGAGAAAAAAAAAAATCAGTGTTTCTGCAGCTAGATAAGCCACCATTTATATTAATGTAATTTGCAGCGAAATGTACCAAATGAGCAAGACCAGTATATTACCATAGCTGGATAAAGACATAAGTATGGCTGGTTAAACCCATGCTGATTCTTGCAATAAAGTAATCTGGCACTGTAGAAAAAACAAATTACTGAAGAAGTGATTCAATACATTATTGCTCATAACACCAAAAAGAGCCAGCCATTTTGCCTCAGTTGCAATCTTAATCTTTGTCTGGTTAAGATACACAGCGATATACTGCTTAAAAGGCCAAAAAAATCTGGGCATCACTAGATATTCCGTTCCTTCTTCCACTGAGGGAAAGTACCTCCTACAGTGCAGGACCAGGTATTCCCTCCAGATTATCGCCGTTGCCTACCCCAATAAAAGGGAATGTACAGGTACTCCTCACTTAACGACCTACCTGTTTAACGACCGCGCGGACTTACGACCAGCTCTCCGTAGAGTCGTAGAGCTGGTCGGCAGCGCGGCGTCTCGGCGTCAAGCTGAGGGGGACGAGGAGCTAAGCCCGGCACCCTCCAGCCGGCTCCGCGAACCCACGAGGGGGGAGAAGCATCCACCCGGAGGGCAGCAGCCAGGACTCACCGTCATGGCCAGCGCCTTCCCGTCCCCGGCTGTTTCCCTGGGGGCCGACTGCGGTCGGTAAGGGGCGGCTCCTCGCTTATCGACCAATTCGCTTAATGACCGAGTCGTAGGAACGGAACTCGGTCGTTAAGTGAGGAGTGCCTATATAGTCCAGCAAATTCCAGGAAGTATGTTACACAACGCCTCATGCGCTTAGTACAGTCAAAAAGCTTGAGGTTGAATCGATTCTATCTTCACAGGTTAGTCTAAATTGCATAGATTAAACTGATAAGCAAGTGAATAGGTATTTGTTTCTGATTTCAAAAATGCAGCCACATGTCTACACTGGCCCAGCCCAGAAGCCGGGGGGGGCGGGGCTGAGTCTGAGCTTTCTAAATTAAGAAATCTAAGATTTGGGTTGGTGGACACAGGACAGGTGCAGCTCAGCAAAGGGTCAATCTGGCACAGGGGATTGATGGCATAAGCTGTACCCAACTACCCATCCCCTCTGCAGCACTCCCCTTAGCTGCAGAGCCTGCTGCTCTGCCGCATCTGCTCTTAACCTCACTGCAAAGGGGTTGAGAACAGAGATGAGGGTAAGACACAGGCAACAGGTTCCTCTAGGGAGTGAAGACTTGTGGCCCGCAGTAGGGTTGGCTATGCCAGCAAAAGGTTGCTGACCCCGATCTACTAGGTACTAAATGTCATTGTGAAGGAGTATAGGGATGAGGAGGGATAGCAGGAACAGAGAACTTAGCATGAGAAAGCAAGCAGAGAAAACGTCTTTAGAATGCAAGGTCTTTAGGGAAAGGACTCTCTCTTATCAATCTTTGATAAGATCAGAACTGGGGCCTTCAGGTACTACCATAATATAAATATATATTTTAAATGATAATAAACAAGAGCAAAAGAAAGAATAGTTTTAAAAACAAGAGTGAATCTTCATATTTTTGCAACTAACAAGAGAGACAAATGAACAAATTAGAGCGAACTAAAAGGGAACGGGGACTTTCCGTTTGTCAGTTTTCTACACTAGCTGTCAACATGCATGCTCTTATCCCTTGGTAAGTAGATGCTAAACAATGGCAGCTTAGCCCTCTTTCATTGATGGAAAAAATTACAGCTTAGCTTTTGCTTACTGAGACAAAAGACTGCAAACAGACAGTTATCTCTGAGCAGTTGATACACAGTAAGCCTTTGTCCCATTTTTACTCATTAACGTGGTCATCTATCCATACTCTTATAGTCAAAATTCCACCTGACTCTGGATGGTAATTTTTCTTGGTGGGCATCAGTAAACTGACATTGGCCACCTTTTATTCAATGGGTTATTCCAAATCCTTGTTCTCTGATTGAAAGAGAAGCTTAAATTCTCCCCATCAGGCAGTAATAGTCTTGATCTCTGCAATGGTGAGAGCACCAATAATTAAACTGTATATTAGAGCAACTCCAAATAAATGGCAGGCTGAGAGCACTGGCTAATACAACCAAGGCTTTATTCTGATTAATGCTTCCAATTCTTCACAAAGGTTAGAAGCCAGTGTTGTCAAAATTCCACTCCGATGACTCATCAACTTTCTCAAAGGAAATGAATAAGCTTCTCATGGAAGGGACTTTTCCATTTATCTATAAATCAACACGAACACCTGTAGCACAACAATAACAACTCCTGCTGCTTTTAAGCAGCAACTAATAATACTTGATCAAGAAACAAAATAAGTTTCCAGGCACATCTAAGAGAAAAAAAACTTCCATTTTTTCCAATAGAAAAGACTTGAGGTATTGCCATTGTGGAAAATGTTTTAAAGGAATAGAATTAATCGTAATTGCTTATGCTACAGGTTACAAACAGTAAGCAGGTTTGGCCACCTGGATAGCTCTCAAAACAAGGGCTCTTGTAACCTGTAAATCTATGGAATACAACAGCTGCTGAAGTCTTTTACTGATGCCTATGAATTCAACCTCTTCAACACAATTTTTCAGTGCATAAATTTGAAGAAATGATGTTTCACCAGATCTTCCCCTTCTGGGAGATAAGGACCTTACCTCATCTTATTACAAGATACTCTCTATTGAGCTGAAACAATTTCTCAGCGTCACAAACTTTTTTCTCTTACAAAATAACGTGATTTTGTAATGCTGTCTGATTATTGTTATTATTATAAACTTAAAATTAAATAAAATTCCTACAAGAAAATACTAAATACTAAAAATTCCTACTGAAATTTTACAAAATTGGATGCATCCTTGGAACACATATTTCAAGGTATATTCATCACATTTTCTTGTGTACAACATGCACCATTCCCTCCAAAAATCAGCCTCCCAAAACTGGGGTATATGGAATAAGCAGGGACTGTGTTTTCTTCACTGGAATAGAAGGATATCTGAAGACACTGTGCATGCCATTCAGTTGCAAGCTGCTGCTTGTTCAGCTCAGCAAGCTGAAGGGGTGGAGGCTTGTGTAGGTGAAGGGGTGGAGGCTGAGCACCATAGCTTATGCCTGAACAGCAAGTAAAGTGCTGGTAGTATCTTGATAAGAAGCTTTTGATAGGCAAACAACACTTCATTTGTAAGAACTTACATAAACTATTTATAGTAAAGAACTAACAGTTTTGCTGTTGCCCTTACAATGGTCAGCAGCCTAACCTTTCAACACAGAGTAAGTCCTCCTTGGATCATAGAGTGTCCAGGAAGCGTGGCGCCCTGGGAGACAACCTAGAGGAGGCAGCAGGAACTTCCTGCCCTCCATTGCCCAAAAAAGGCTATAGTCTAATTATACAAAGGGAAAGAAATCGACCCAGCCAAGGATGAGAGATGGGAAAATATAAGAAAACCAAGTGTCTGAAGTCATTTTAAACATGTTTTGTTTTTTTAATCTTCATGTATTTTTTCATTAGGCCTCTCCATTTCCTCAATCAGGCTGCTCTGCCCCTTGATCCTACTTTCAAGTATGCTATATCCTCTTTTATCCTGGACCTGATGCATGGATTTTGGGATTAGACACCTAATCACTCAGTCAGTACTACTCAGTGTCTAAACGTGAATAGAGGGTCTGTAGGACAGTGTTTCTCAACTGGTGGAACGTGTCCCATTGGTGAGATGCGAAGGTCATCTAGGTGGGACCCAAAGTTTCAAAAGTAAATACAGTAATACCTCAGTGAAGCTTCGGCGAAGCTCATTTATAACAAAGTCTGCCAGCAATGAGCTCCCTGCAGGCTGGCAGAGGTCCAGCCTCAGGCGGGAACGGGTCCAGCCTGCAGGGAGCTGAGAGGAAGCAGAAGGAAGGCGGTGAGACAGGGGGCACCATATGCATGTACACTACTACAGCACATGCACGTGGATGCAGGCAGCCTCAGGGAAGCTCTGGCACGTAAGTGGGGGGGGAAGAGGGAGATTGAGGTCCATGTAGGGAGGGAGCTGGGCAGGGCTGGGGCTGCTACCCAGCCAGGGGGTGCTCGAGTCCCGGAGCCGTAGTGTGCGGCTGCAGGGCTCCAGCGGGGAGCAAGACAGAGCCTTGGGTAGCTCATTGGGGGAGGGCCAGCTCTCAACTGCTGGGCACACTTCCAAGGGGCAGCAGGGACCCACACCCCCCCAGATCTGTATGCGAGGCAGGGGCAGGCTGTGAGCTCCGGTGCCACTGCCCTCACTGCAGGTCCGCATGAAGGATGCATGTTGCCAGGGCAGCACGGACCTTGCAGTGACACGGAGATACCCGCGTGGCCCTGCTGCACCAGGTCATGCCTGCTAGGCTGCAGAGGCTCGAGGCAAGGAAGCAGGGCAGCAGGGAACAGTGGGGCTGCACGGAGAACCTGCTCCCAGCTGCTTGCCTCACGCTGCCCCGACGATGCACGTCCTGTGCACGGGACTGCAGTGAGGGCTGTGACACAGGGCTGCACCCCGCAGAGCAGCAGGGCGTGCAGCTGCTGTTCCCTGCCACGATTACCTCTACAGCCTGGAGGGCACAATCTGGTGGGGGCAGCACAGAAACGGTTCTCGCCCCACATTGCCTTGGTGACACACCTCCTGCACGTGGTGCTGCTTGCAGTGTGGAGCTCGCAGCCTTTCCACGCAGCCCCGCTCTTGCCAGCTGCACCCGATCGCGCCTGCTCAGCTGCAGAAGCACCTGAGGCAAGGAAGCAGGGTGGAGTGAGGAGCAGCAAGCAGTTGCAGTTCCCTGCTACTCTGTTTCCCTCTCCCGGGTGCCTCTGTAGCCTGGCAGGCACAATCTGCCCTGCTGCTCTGAGGGGTGCAGCCCTGCACTGCAGCCCTGGGTACAGGAGGTGCTTCACCAGGGCAGCACAGGGCGAGTGGCAGTGAGAAGAACCCCGCATGGCTCCTCTGCTCCCTGCAGCGCGGAGTTAT